GTGACAACTTCACCCACTACGCCACAGTGCCAGCCCCAGAACAGGCATTTTTCAAGAGAGGAAATTCAAATGGCCAACATACACTTGAAAAAATGGTGAGGATCACCAGCCATCAGGGAACACAGATCAAAACCACAATGAGATTTCACCTCACTTCAGTTAGAATGGCTCTAAAACAGAAATCAAGAAAAAACAAATGGTGAGGATGTGGGGAAAAAGGCAACCTAGTCCACTGCTGGTGTATCCACTGTGGGAGACAGTATGGAGATACCGCAGAAATCTGAATATAGACCTACCATATGATCCAGCCAGCCCACTCCTGGGAATTATATGAAAGTTATCTGTACCCTCATGTTCATTGCAGCTCAATTCACAATAGCTAAGATATGGAATCAACTCAGACATCCATCAACTGTTGACTGGATAAAGAAATTATGGGTCGACTAGGGCTGGTGCTGTGTTGCAGTGGGCTAAAGCCCCGGCCTGAAGTACTGGCAACCCCTGTGGGTGCCAGTTCAAGTCCTAGCTGCTCCAATTCCCATCCAGCTCTCTGCGAGTGCCCTAGGAAAGCAGCAGAAGCAGAAAATGGCCTAAGTACTTGGGCCCCTGCACCTAAGTGGGAAACTGGGAGGAAGCTCTTGGCTCCTGCCTTCAGATTGGCCAAGCTCTGGCCATTGTGGCCATTTGGGGAGTTAACCAGCAAATGGAGGATCTCTCTATATATAACTCTACCTTTCAGATAAATAAATATTAAAAAAAAGACATTATGGTGTATGTATGTGTGTGTATATATATATATATATATATATATATGCTATAGAGTACTACTCAGCCATAAAAAGAAATCCTATCTTTTGTAACAAAATGGATTCAACTGCAAACCACTGTACTTAGTGAAATAGGCCAGTCCCCAAAAAACAGATATTATATGTTTTCCCTGGTCTGTGGTAACTAGCTAATAGAGTACCTGAAATGTAATGTATAAGAGTGAACTGGACATTTTGAAATTTGATGACTGTTTACAGCCCTTATCTCTTCTGTTGAGGAGCAGTGTTTTTTCCTTCATACTATTTGTTGACTCTTCACTTAATGTAGGATTAACCTTATGATCATTAAGTAAACTGAAAATAGACCTTTGTCAAAATTTAGAGTGGGAATAGGAGAGGGAGGAGAAAGAAGGGTTGCAGCATGGGCAGGAGAGAGGGAGGGAGGGTAGAAGTATCACTATGTTCTCAAATCTGTATGTATGAAATACATGAAACTTGTATAACTTAAATAATTTTTTTTAAACTTTGATTTTGGTGATTATTTCACAATGTATGCATTTATATATATCAAAACATCAAGTTATATACCTTAAATACATACAAATTTTGTCAATTATACCTCGATAATCCTAAAATCAGATGATATCTTTGTCTTACTGTGTTGTCTTTTGTTCACTCCAGAGCCTAAAAGCCAAATTTTGTAACACCTCCTGAGAGCACTGTGTCTGCGTGCATCCACAAGTCTGTTGTGGAAGAAGGCCTAGATGTCCTTAGATCACAGACCCCAGGTCAGATGTTATGACATGGCTCTTTCAGCAGAACCACAGACCACGCAGCCCATCCATTCTGACAGTGATTTTAAGAGTATAAAGGAACAGAATGAAACACAAGCAGCCAGGCATTCAAGGGCCCTGGTGTTAAGAAGTTTCTTCTCACTACTCAAAGCATAAAGGTGCTGGTTCCGAGGAGGTGTCAAGACAGCCGAGCCTCACAACCCCTGAGGATGGTCCAGACCAGAAATAGGCTTTGCTATGGTTTGGATACTAGAATGTCCCCCAGATGTCTGTAAGAAAAGGCTCAGAGCTCAGAGGTCGTAGAACCTTTAGGAGGCTCTTGGGTTACTGTGGACACTGCCTTGGGAAGGGACCGTGGAAACTCAGATCTCTTTCCTTTCTTTCTCTGCTCTGGTTCCGGGTGTCACTTCCTGTTCTGACCTAAGCTCCCACTGTTGCCACATCTGTACCCTCATCAGAGGTCAAAACCATTAGGACCTCCTGATCTTGGACTTGGAACTTCTGAAATTATGGGCTATACAAACCTTTCCTCTTTATGAAGTTAAGTTGCCTCAGGTATTACACTGGGGCAATGCAAAGCTGACTAACACAGGCTGTTCTCTGGGAGGAAGCTGCCCAGAACTGAGCAAGTACAAGATGACCATGCAGTAGGGCAACAGTGCTGCAGGCTCTCCAGGCTTGAAGTCAGGAACCAATGAGGAGACCTTGGCAATTTAGTCAAGGGCTGGTCAGACGACGTCTGCAGCTGACCTAACAATACTAGGACTCTGTTCCTCTTCAACTCATCTTTGAAGATTTTGGGAAGAGGAACACAACATGGAGAGGAGTCCAAGACTCACAAATACCAAGGGAGTACGTTCCTAACCACATTTCCTAGCAGGAATCAAAAACAAACAATGGGACTGCCTAGGCCAATATGGCAAATGAGAAAGCATGCTTTATAAATCTCTTTCAAGTTTCTGATATCTAGCCAGATGCACAAGAAGGCGGGAACCAGCTGCAGTGGAGATGTTCATCCCCAAACTGTCTTTGCTTCACCTAGGAACTGAAACAAGATGACACTCCAAAGACAAAGAAATGCCATCTGTCCACAAGAGCCCCTGACCTGCAGCTGAGGAGAGAGAAGCTGTGCTCACCCAGGCCCAGGCCAGGTCCTCAACTGTACAGTGCCCTCCTGTTCCTTTATCTGTGGAAGCCCTTGTAGTCCAGCCCCAGGTCACAACTCACAGTGAACTGGAGAAAGAGAGAGAACCCACTGTGACTGAGGCCCCATCAGAAGGGCTCTGGAATCCCACAGCCCAAAGAGCAGAGTGCAGACTTCCCAAGTGTGATAGCTAATGCTATGTGACCACCTAGCCACAGAGCCCACACATGTCAAGCTATTCTGGAGGTTTCTGCAAAGGTGTTTTTGATGAGATTAACATTTAAATCACTGGACTTTGATAAAGCAGATGGAGTCCCATAACATGCCTGGGCCTCTGATCATTTGAAGATCTAAGCAGAACAAAGACTTGTCTCCTGGACATTGTGGCACAATGGGTTATGTAGCCACTTGGGAGGTCTGCATCCTATACTGGAGTGCCAGGAACAGAACTACGTTTAGAAAAATAAGGATAGAGGTTTAAAATAGAAAAGCTTGAGCTTGGTGTGCTAAGAAAACAAACTCAAGGACATACCTTCACAGATAAAGGCCAGAGAGTGCAGCTAAAGATGGCAGATCGAACACACAGGGTTTTCCCAAGGGCAAAGAGAAGATACAACAGCAACAAAATTTTGGAAACTGCAAAACAGATTAACCTAGCAGATCCAAGAAAAGAAAGCTGTCAGCCAGCATCAGGAAAATATGAAAAGCAACCCAACATGCATCACAGAACCCAGAATGTGGAAGAGATAGAACCAGCAACATGTGGAGCAGGGGTGGAGTGTGGCCCAGAGACACAGCCAGTGGCAAGCCTGCCTGGAGAGGCACACTGAACTGGTCACCCCAGGCACATAACTGCTGCTTCCCGGAGGCAGGAGGTTGGGACTTCTGTATCCAGTGGTGTCAGCTGAGGAGTATGTGAGGGGAGAAGGAAGTAAGAACCAGGAGAAGCCCCTAAAAAGGCTCATGCTCCAGCCAGAATGCTGTGGGCCCAAAACCTAAAGGCTATAGCCCAGAGTCCAGCCCCTGAGAGCCCCAAACACATGGGCACCATGAGAAGAGAGATGTTTCTGAAGAGAAAAACACATAATAAAACAGAGAAAAAGTATGCAGGAAAAAGCAGGCCCCCAAAAAGTGTGAAACAATGCCAGTGATAACATGCGGGAGGCATCATCCAGAAGAAAGATCAAGATGCCACTCAAGAGAAGCACTGGGGAAAAATTAATTCCTATAATGAAGTGTAACAGAAATAGAAGAGATATAAAACGCAAGATACACACAGTACCATGAAAAGAAAAAAAAGAGGCAACGTGAGAATAGAATAACATTACAAGAACAGTCCAGGTTGTCAGATGTAAAAAAAAAAAAAAAAAAAAAAAAAAAGGGAGTCCCAGGAAGAACGAACTGTTTGAAATGAAGTAAAAGGGGCAGGCATTTGTTGTAGAGGTTAAGATGCCTCTTGAGACAACTGCATTCTAAATTAGTTGGAGTTCTGGCTACATCAGTTCCAATTCAGCTTGCTGCTAATGAGCACCCTGGGATACAGCACATGATTTCTCAAATACTTAGGTCTCTGCTCCCAATGTGAAAGACCTGGATTGACTTCCTGGCTATGGCTTGGCCCAGCTCTGGCTGTTGTGAGCATCTGAGGAGTGAACCAGCAGTTAGAGGATCTCCTTGTTTGACTCTCTCTCTCTGCCTTGCAAATAAAATGGAAATAAACAAAAATTCACCAAAACTCACTCTCCCAACCACAATGTGTGAGGCAAGTGTGTCCTGATCACCAAATAGGAGCTTCACTGACAGGAACACATCACTCACACAGCTCATGCCTGTGTCTCTCACCTTGTATACCACACATGGTGTGTACACATTACTCACACAGCTCACACCAGTGTCTCACTATGTGTGTGCCACATGCTGTGCCTTGCAAGTGTGTGTCTCTCACCATGTGTGTCCCACATGCTGTGCAATGCAGGTGTGTGTCCCTCATCACGTATGTCCCACATGCTTTGCAATGCAGGCGTGTGTCCTACCGTGTGTGTCCCACATGCTGTGCAATGCAAGTGCATGTGTCTCACCATGTGAGTCCCACATGCTGTGCAATGCAGGTGCGTGTCTCTCCCCAAGTGTGTCCCACATGCTGTGCCTTGCAGGTGCGTGTGTCTCACCATGTGTGTCCCACATGCTGTGCAATGCAGGTGTGTGTGTCTCTCAGTCTTGTTCTCAGAACATGTTTTGTACACCAAACATGCACCCTGCCCTGGCTGAGCCAGAGCAATTTCTTGGCTAGCCCACCTGTCAGCCACATCCAGGTCTGACTCCATCTTCTCCAGGCCCCTCATGACACTGCCCAGCTGCTCACCCTGGTGGTGAAGGACCTTCGCAGTATCTTCCAGACGCTTCTGGGACCTAGCCATCAATCCAGTGAGCTCCTTCCCCCGGGATGAGGGGGACAACACAGTGTTCATAGCAGCTCCTGGCTGGGATAGCAGCAGCTCCCTCCAGAAGTGCTCAATGATGGTGAAGACTACATTGCGACTGGGCCTCAAGGAGCTGAACCAGTGCTTGCCATGGTCCTTTTCCAGGATGGTGATGGAGCTGAAGATGAAATGTGAAGCCTCCTTCTTCACTTCAGTGATGCTGGAGAGGGGAAAGCCAACAAGAACCTCACCAGCTCTGTCCGCTGTGAACTTCAGTGAGAGCGACGTTAAGGACAGCTTCCCAGGGACCCATCGTTTCTCAAGGTCCAAGTAGTAGGAGCAGGGCCAGGCATGGATGCAGATGTCTCTGCTCATCTTTCCCTGGTGTGGTTGTGCCTCATGGAGGCTGCAGCCTCTGCCTCTGAGGAACAAGAGAGACGGGTTGGTAGGCAGGGGAAGCTGAACACAGAGCCCTAACTTTGGCTAGAGACACTCAGAAACCGACCACCATGACAGGCAGCCACAAAGGCAATTCAAGGCTCCGTGTATACTGACAAGAGACAACACCTCTAACTAGAGATGAGGGAGACAGTTGTGATCATAATAGAGACCCCACAGTCCCAGACTCATGCCTGTCTCCTCCATGGGAGACTTCAAACTCTCATCCCCAATACAAGACCCTTCACTTCTGTGCTCCTTGGAGTAAGCCCCCTTGGATCAGCATCCACGGAGGACATGCCTTGAAGTGGGAATTATTGGAGCCACTACCCTGGGTCCCAGGCCTCATTCCTTGGTCTTGACAGGTGGCTGTCAATCTCAGATCCTTCCCACAGACACAATCTTGTGGCTGTGATGTCTTTGTCACTGGAAAGTCATAAAGGTTTCTATTCACAGTGCCCTTCTGAAATTTCTATGCCATAAATCATATACATATATATAAATCATATACATATATAAATGTATATGTATATACACCTGGGTGTCACCATAAGTAGTACAGCATTTTCACATTTGTATTGACACCTATCAATGCATTATGAAAAAACCATGGCTGTCAGGTCTGCATTAACCTTGTATTACTTTTAGTCCAACCATCTCACAGATGAATATAGTTAATAGGATGAGGGCCTCAGACAAGGTTCAACCATGAGTTTACAGCACTGACTGGGCAGAAGCCAGGTGTGGTAATGCCTGGGCCTGTGGGATTCCAAGTCGACAGTGGTCTAGCTTTAATGGGGCATTTCTTTCAATTCTCCTTCTCTCTCTTCCCACCTCCCTCCCTCTTCCTGTGTGCCTCTGTTTCACTGGCTCTTTTACACACATACACACACACACACAAATTTACTGATGATATAACACCATTTATAACAGAGTGACTAGCATCATCCCTTAAAATACTGCAAAGTGTGGGTTTTGCACAAAATGGTTACAGGACACAGGGATTATTATGGGTCAGCTCACAGGCTTGTGAGCCCCTGCAAGGCACCATATGCTGTGTTGGGCAGAATGTAAGAAAGAAGCAACACTGGCACAGTCCCTGTCTTGCTGGGCTTGGAGTCAGCTGGAGTCCCATTCATTTTCTCACTGAGTTACACTCCCAGCGACCAGATTTTACAAGATCATTATTGTACTAGACACCACAGCAAGCAATACAAGGATGGGCAAGACACAAAAAGATGGACCCCACATTTTAAGAGACTATATCAAAATGAGATTTCTAGTGATACGGAAACTAAGTTCACCACATACCAAATGGTATAGGGACATGTTCTGAAAAAAATGCATCATTAGATGACTTTGTCCCTGTGTGAACAAAATCACAGCATGCCCTTACACGAACCCAGATGGTAGAGACCAATGCCCCCCATGCAGCATCTTGATGCAGTCAAGCGATGTGGTGACCCTGAGTTGTGTGAAGCTGTTGACAGTCTAACACAGAAGGCTGTCTTTTTTTTTTTTTTTTTTTTTAAGATTTAGTATTCATTATCCGAAAGGCAGAGCTACAGAGAGGTACAGACAGAGACAGAGAGAGGTCTTCCATTCACTGGTTCACTCCCCAGATGGCCGGAGCTGTGCCGATCTGAAGCCAGGAGCTTCTTCCGGGTCTCCCATGTGGGTGCAGTGGCCCAAGGACTTGGACCATCTTCTACTGCTTTCCTAGGCCATGGCAGAGAGCTGGATTGGAAGTGGAGCAGCTGGGACTCAAACTGGTGCCCATACGGGATGCTGACACTGCAGGCAGCGGCTTTACCTCCTGTGCCACAGAGCCGGGCCCCCAGCAGGCTGTCTTACAGTAAACTTCCTTATAAGTAGAAGAAGCACACTCTAAAATAACGATAACAATTATAGTACATCATGTGTCATATACCTTATGTAACTGTACATACACATTGTGTATGTATACATGCATGTATGCACACGTGACTGGCCACAAGGTAGGTGTGCTAATAACAGCAAGCACTACAAACAGGTGAGGAAGGCACCGTGCTGCAATGTCACAACAGCTATGATATCACTAGGTAACAGGAAACTTTCAGCTCTGTCATGACCTTATGGCACTTGTGGTACACATAGCCCATTGTGGACAGACATGTCCTTCAGTAATGCAGGCAAACAGGCATCAGGTACATGCGCAGCCCTGCAGCAGCTGTGGAGACAGCAGGAAAGCTGATGGGAGTGACCACAGCCAGCTGCCTCCTTATGCCCCAGGGCCCTCTCTCTCTCCAGCCCTCCCAAGTTTCCCTTGTGCTCATCTTCTCACGGACAGATCTGCTATGCTCAGAACACAGTAGGATGCTACTCATCTACTTGATTGGAACCTCTCAGAGGGCAATTCTATCCCCAGCCCTAACTTAAGTGTGGTGTTTGTTCCCTGGGCCCTGGGGTTATAAATTAGGTCAATCCTACAGGTTGGCTTCACCCTGCTGCTTAGAGTCCCATTGACAGCAGCCTTAATTAAGCACTGTAGGAGACACACTGACCAGTTTTGTTCCAGTCAAGTTAACCACAACGATATGCACAAGGTCACCAAGGCGAGCTTAGCCCTTCTATTAGAAAAGAAAGTGTCTGCCATTTTTGTCTTGAATCCATTTATTTGATGAACACAAGGCATAGACACACCTAGAACTTGCTATTAGTTTTTACTATCTGATCATATGCAATATGATCATATGATATTGCATATGATCATATGCAATATGCTTAATGTATGCAAAACTCAGGTGCCTGATTAATACAAAATGATTGGGCTCCATTGTTTTGAAAAAGATTTATTTATTCAAAAGGTGAGGAAGGAGAGGGAGAGGTATCTTCCATTTACTGATTCACTCCCTAAATGGCCACAACAGCCAGGTCTGAGACAGGTCAAAGCAAGGAACCAGAAGCTTCACCAGGTCACCCACATGGGTGGCAGGGGCCAAAGCACTTGGGCCATCTTCTGCTGCTTTCCCAGGTTCATTAGCAGGGAGCTGGATCGGAAGCAGAGCAACTGGGACTCAACTGGTACTGTGATATAGGATGCGGGTATCACAAACAGAGGCTTCCTCTACTGTGCCACAACACAGGCCCTTGCATTCCACTGTTATGTAAGCTCAGCTTCTATGGTAATCCAGCCAACTATTTTACAAATACATTCTATACTCTCTGTTAGTCACAATAGCAAGGCAGGCCCAAATCTGCCAGAAATGCATGCATGCCAATCAGTTACCATTAGTCACCCCCAACAATCTCCAGGCTACCTGCTTGAATTACCAGTACTTGAAATCAGGACAAGCCTAAGGGAAAGATAACCTTACATATGAGAATACGGCTGTCACCACAAAATAAAATCAGGCATGAGACTTAAAAGTAGTAAAAATTTCTTGCGTTGGAGGGACCTTAGGGATAACCTAATCTGACTCACTCCCCTTTGTCTCTGAGTGAGCATAGTGCCTACATGGCCAATCTTCCCTCTCCTTCAGGCACCACTAAGCATGTCACATGAGCATGGATTCTTAGAAAGCAGCAGTCTCGGGATCTGGACTTCAGCAGATGTAACACACAGTTCAGACACCAAAGGAACATGCAGGTCATCAGACAGAGCATAGACACCTAAACACTAGCTACAAGACTGCATAGAATTGCCCACTGCAGAGGACTGAAACTACAGGAAAGGCAGGCCTTCTGCAGTGTGGAGAACACGACAGGACTAGAACAGAAAGCAGCAGAGGTCTAATAGTAAGTAGCCACAGTCCACCCCAGGTCACACAGGAGAACTGGAGGCTGGTGGTAATATAGGCCAGCCCCCTAAGATCCTATCCTGAGCCAGAGCGAGAGGAACCTCCACATTGAAAACAAACAAAACACCTGGCACACTCAACTCAGGAAGGCTGTGTGATGAAAGGAACCAGGAAGTTCACGGCCTGATGTCACTGGAAAGCTGAGATTTTCTCAGCTGCTTCTGTACAGAAGGTTGGCCTTGTCTCTCTGAGAGAGGCTTCGCGGGTGAGCCTGCAGTATGACCCCCTCCCTGACACACAGCAGGCCACACAGCAGCTCCCGGAATGGAAGAAGCAGCCTTTCCTGTGCGACACTATCTCACACTGTGTGGAATGAATCAGAGTGAACCACAAGCCTTTCTCTCACAGGTGAGGAGCCCAGTACTGAATCACAAGTCAGCCCATGAAGACAGCCTTGCCTCTACCTCCTGGCTCAAAGAGCCTACTCATTGCTGGGACACACCCTGATACACCAGGAGGGAGGGACCACATCTGGTTCGCCGCCATTCCCTGATACACAGAGAGCCAGACACAGCAGGGAAACTGAATTTGTGGGGCAGGCATTTGGCCTTGCGGTTAGTATGTTAACTGGGATACCCACATCTCTTATCTGAGTGCATGGGTTCCAGTCCTAATTCTATTCCCAAGTTCAGCTTCCTGCTAATGTGCACCCCATAATGTAGCAGGTATTGGCTCAGGTACTTTGGTCTTTGCCATTCACGTGGAAAACCTGGATTGAATTCCAGTTCCAGCTCTAGCTATTGTGAGCATTTAGGGGGTGAATCAGCAGATGGGGGAGCACTCATACTTGCTCATTTACTTGCTCACTCACTTTCTCCCCAGCCCCCCACCCCCCATCATTCAGTGAATTTGGATTAGCGGTTACCTGACTCTGGGCATGCACTAGTGTGAAGTTTTCCACAAGCAAGTACAACTAGGCACAAAGTCCCCAAATAGCTACTGCATCTGTGGTTCCAACTCCAGCTCCTTAAGCTCTGCCCCAAACTTTACGACTTTGGAAAAGTTACCTCACCTTCTGGACCTCCGTTTATCCACCATTAAAATAAATGAAAAACCTTAGAACAACACCAGCTCTAAAATACCCTAAAATTTCAAAGAGAAAAGAAAGGACAGGAAAAAAAGATTAGGAGGTGAACGACCACAG